ATACATCATCTCAGAAATATAGACATATACAGAATGTTGTCAGCAAAAGGAAGAATTCAAGATGCAAACTACGAACTAAAGACATCTAAGTCAAGAAGTCCAACAATTTAAATATCTAAGAAGAGTTTTAACTGAGGACATAAAATGTGACACCGAAATCCGAAGTCGCATTCAGATAGTGAAAGATGACAACCAAAAGTTAAGCATTAACAGCAGAAAAGATTTTGTTAGGAACAAAGAAAAGTTTAATGGAAGTTTTTGTCATATTGGTCCTCCTATATGGCAGTGAATGCTGGACAATCTCCTCACTGATGAAGAAGAGACATGAAGCAATAGAAACAAAGAAAAGATTACTGGACTGTTATGTAATATCAGTCCTCCTATATGGCAGTGAATGCTGGACAATCTCCTCAAAGATGAAGAAGAGACTTGAAGTAACAGAAACAAAGAAAAGATTACTGAACTGTTATGTAATATCAGTCCTCCTATATGGCAGTGAATGCTCGACAATCTCTTCACAGATGAAGACGAGACTTGAAGCAAGAGAAACAAAGAAAAGAATACTGAACTGTTATGTAATAACAGGCCTCCTCTATGGCAGTAAATGCTGGGCAATATCCTCACCGATGAAGAAGAGACTTGAAGCAATAGAAACAAAGAAAACTACTGAACTGTTATGAAATATCAGTTCTCCTATATGGCAGTGAATGAAGGACAACTTCCTCACAGATGAAGAAGAGACTTGATGCAACAAAAACAAAGAAAAGAGTACTGAACTCATGTTTCTCTTTTTCTTTTCTTGTTTTTTTTCCACACTCAATAATTCCTTGTGTCTCAGTGGCTTTACTACCTTCTATGGGGTGATACGATTAAAAAATATATATGCTTCGAACATAAACATTCCGTTCACGTAACTGAAGTCAACTTTGGTCTCCAAAAATTTAAATGCAATGCCAATCGTTATCCTCTGTCTTAATTCTTTTTCTTTTACTGTCCTCGCTTCTTAATAGTATTTTTTCTCATATTCTCTAACACTCAGCAGTAAACCCTTGTGTCTCAGTGGCTTTATTGCCTTACTTGGAGTAAAATAATTAAAAAAAACATTCTGATGATCAACATTCTACATTGATTCTCGAATTTTCTGTTACGATATTCGAGTCAAAGAAAAGTTGTACGATATCTAGAACATTAAAATATATATTAAGATAGAAATTGGAGGGGGGGCGCTTCCTCTATTTGGTCTCTTTCGGAGTTATGCCCCTTTTGCTGTACTATATGTGGCCCGTTCGGCGGAGGAGGGGCGTGCGTATTCAACATTTGATAATTTTGCGTCAATACGCGCTTAAAGGTTTTAGGCAGTTTTGATCAACATTTCTTTTCATGGTTAGCCGTAAGAAATTGTAAATGTAGGAATTACTTTAAACTTAAGTAAAATAATAACAATAATAATATTTATTACAGGAAAATATCAAAGTTTTACGGGAACCTTATTGACAATTATGAATTTAGTTACATAACAAATAAATAAAAATAATATCAATTCTGTTGCTATATTCGATTTGTTTTTAGGTATTTTTCATTTTCTCCTTTGTTATTGGCAGAATTTTAGAATACTTTGGCTGAAATGCTAAGTTTCCTAAGTTGAACAAACTGAAGCTATTTCGTATACGCTTTGTTACCTCTCTTTTCCATTGTTGTTTTTAGATTGCTTTCTTCCAGTCATTTTTGATGGGCAATAACGAAATTTCTAAAATTTAGAATGATCTTATTCCATTTTAAAAATAAAGCCTTTAAAAAGGAATATTTTAAATTAATATACGACCAAAAATAAAATGATTTTGACAAAAAAACCTTAATGGTTTCACTATAATTATGTAACAATAATGTTATGATATTCCGCAGACAAATGTACGGTTTATTTTACCTCATCTCATTTTATAGTTACGAACTATAAACCTATATTGAGCTTGAAATATTGTGTAATCAGCTCTAATTTTTTGTAAAATACTTGCATATGATATAATGAAGAATTTACAGGGAAAAAGCAATTTTCGGTTCTTTGTTCAATACGCCCCTCCTCCGCTGATCGCGTCATATGTCATGTGAACTAGCATAGTACCTGTCAAAAATGACCGCTCCAAATGAGTATTGTTGAATACGCCCCTCTTCCGTCAAACGCGTCATATGTCATGTGAACTAGTATAGTACCCGTCAAAAATGACCGTTTAAAATAAGTCGAACGCGTCATATATACATATCCTCTTTTAGTTGTATTCTTCGTATTCCTATTTGCTCTTCTATTTCAATTCCTTTTCCTAACAATATCTCAAACACATTTAAGTCCGTCTATATCTCTGAGATGAGGTAATATGATTACTTGCATTATTTACATTATTCGGACTGTTATCCTCATCTTCATTGCCATATTCACAACGTTTCGGCCTCTATATCTCTGAGATGAAGTATTATGATTACTTGCATTATTTACATTATTCGGACTGTTATCCTCATCTTCATTGACATATTCACAACGTTTCGGCCTCTATATCTCTGGGATGAGGTATTATGATTACTTGCATTATTTACATTATTCGGACTGTTATCCTCATCTTCATTGACATATTCACAACGTTTCGGCCTCTATATCTCTGAGATGAGGCATTATGATTACTTGCATTATTTACATTATTCGGACTGTTATCCTCATCTTCATTGACATATTCACAACGTTTCGGCCTCTATATCTCTGGGATGAGGTATTATGATTACTTGCATTATTTACATTATTCGGACTGTTATCCTCATCTTCATTGACATATTCACAACGTTTCGGCCTCTATATCTCTGAGATGAGGCATTATGATTACTTGCATTATTTACATTATTCGGACTGTTATCCTCAACTTCATTGCCATATTCACAACGTTTCGGCCTCTATATCTCTGGGATGAGGTATTATGATTACTTGCATTATTTACATTATTCGGACTGTTATCCTCATCTTCATTGACATATTCACAACGTTTCTGCCTCTATATCTCTGAGATGAGGCATTATGATTACTTGCATTATTTACATTATTCGGACTGTTATCCTCAACTTCATTGCCATATTCACAACGTTTCGGCCTCTATATCTCTGAGATGAGGTATTATGATTACGTGCATTATTTACATTATTCGAACTGTTATCCTCATCTTCATTGCCATATTCACAACGTTTCGGCCTCTATATCTCTGAGATGAGGTATTATGATTACTTGCATTATTTACATTATTTAGACTGTTATCCCCATTATCATTACCATATTCACAACGTTGCTTAGATCCAGTGACTAGACCCAAAGAGTTGTGAGTTCAATATCAGGCTATGGCAGTAGTGAAACAAAACTTGAATTAAATGGAAATAACTGAGTCATCCGGAAGAGGCATGGAACGTGGAACTAGAACAATCTACTCCGGTGGACAAAATAAAAAGTTCTGTTCGAAATTCCAGTCACCTGAAGAAGTCCGGAACGTACAACGGCCTAAACGTTGTGAATATGGCAATGAAGTTGAGAATAAAGAGTAATGTTATAATGTAAATAATGTAATATGAAATTAACAGCTGGGAACACAGGAGCCCCAGTTGATGAAGAGGTTAAAACGGCTAATAAATGTCGTTCGATTACTCAGTTATTCGGTTTTGGAATCACTGCCTCGCGAACATAAATCTTTGCTTTCTTTCCCCATTTTTTTGTCAATGTGCCAGATTCAATGATGTTGTTAATAACAAGAGGAGCAATGAAATCCAATTCGTTCATATTTATACAAAGCATAATAAAAGGAATCTTTTGTTTGCTTGTATTTCTTGTCTGTGTCTCCATACATGGCATTCGGATGCTTTCCTTGTATTTTGTACGATGCTCCCATCGCGTTTAGCATGGCTGATGTTATTGCCTTCTTGGACATTTGCCAAAACCTCTTCACAAAGCCTACCTACGCAAAGTGGGCCTGGCCTACTTCACGACCCGAATCGTTACTTATTTATAGATGCAAAACCTTCCAGCGAAAAATAAAATCTCTGCCCTATGGTCTGGCTTAGAATATGTCGATTGCACCCCCACCCCCGGAGAGAATGCAAGAGTCACCTTCCAGTTGGACGCATGTATTAACCGGACCTGTTTGTACCCCGGACCTTGCTCTTTGTACTCTAGTGCAAACAAGACATTTATGTACCTTTTTGTGGGGTTCGATTGCAATTAATTGATTGACTAGTATTAGGTTGGTGCAAAAATAATGACGTAAGAATGTCGTTTTTTGACGTAGAAAAGTACGTCAAAAAACGACATTATTACGTCATTATTTTTTGCACCAACCTCATATTTTTTGCGGTTTATCAACCCTTTGCGGTTTATTTAAAGCCAAAACATATTTCGAATTGTAAGATTGATTGTTTGATCTTTTTTATGGATTATCAACCCTTCGTAGGTTATTCAACGTTGAAACATGCTTCGGGTTGTTGGATGGTGTTTCCAAGTGGTCCCTCATCTAAAGTACTGACCAGGATCGACGCGACTTAACTCCGGTGATCGAAGGGGAACTCTCGAGCGTAAACAGAATCTACATGTACATTTCTTAGTACTATTGCAGTCATTGTACCGTGTGCCTTTTTGTTTTTTGGGTTTTTTTTAAACTTTAATAGACTAGCCGTATAAGTACCTTATTTCACTCTAGCGCAAACCGGAGCTACGTGTAGCTTTTTAGAAACTAACGCAAAAAGTGCTGATATGTACATTTTTCGGGCAAGTTGGATCTATGTGTACATTTTTAACACTAGCACAAACATGGTTTATAGTGCTTTTCCAAGCGTAGCTCAAGCACAATGCTAAAAGTATGTGGTACCCAGTGAGGATAAAACTCATTACTCAGTCGTAATTGTTCTAGCGAGAAAAGCTTGCTAACCATTACACCAACTCGAGATGCCCAAAATTGGAAGTTTACCCAAGTAGTAGGGGTCTGCTTACAGTACCAGGTGTTCCCAAGCGGTCCCCCATCCTGACCTGGTTCTACAATGCTTAACTTCGGTAATCGAACCAGAACCGGTGTTTTTATCGTGATTTGACCGTAACACAAACATGCTTTACATGGACCTTTTTGATTTTCGTGAATGTCAGACCTATGTGTACCCTTTGTAGCACTATTGCAAACCATATATGTACCTTTGTTTTGACACACACACACACACACACACACACACACACACACACACACACACACATATATATATATATAAAATACAAATTTAATACAGATTTATGGTATACTTTATGTATGGGAAAGCGTGCTCAATATCGGGGATAGAGCGTGTGGAAATATGAGATTGGATGTAAGGTCAACACCATATGGCGATAGTCTGTTTCATATTTGAACGCAATCCTCATGGTCTAAAGATTGTGGTTAAGCATAAAACAGACTGTCAAAACTTTATGTCGACCTCAGAATCTACACTTTGATCCCAATTTATATATATATATATATATATATATATATATATATATAGTCATCCACAGTCGGACTGTTTCACTGTATCACAGCTCTTATTGATCGCAATATATATATATATATATATATATATATATATATATATATATATATATATATATATTATAAATTAACTGATGTAAAAATGTTTCCATCGCTACACAGGAATTACCATGTTTCAAAAACAGAAACTAAAAACTTCAAATTCAATTATATAATTAAATTAAGGGCCCTAATTCTGTTTCATTTTCAAGCGAATTCGGGAATTTATGCTCTGTAAATTTGCATTGAGCAGTGTTTTGTAAAAATAAAAATATTAATAAGAACACCGGATTATATATCTTTCTGTTCTTTCTTTTATTATAATATATATATATATATATATATATATATATATATATATATATATATATATATGAACCTAAAGAGCTAAACAAACATACCTAGATTTCACCTACGCGGATCGTCAGGCCGGCGTACCCTGACGATCCTGACGATTCTTTGGACTCTGAGCTTGGATTCTAGTCGATTGTTTTCGTCTGAATTACATGTTCTTAGTTTTTTCTTTTATATATATATATATACTTCGACATGAAAACAATAGACAAAACTAAAAATCCTTGAAGCATTATACATCAAACAGTTGAAACCCAACCTAAACAAAATCAATTATGGCATCTCTACAAATATTCTTAAATGTCTATAATTGGTAACAGAAGCCATTGGTTTATACCAACGGCTTTCCATACTTCATACTTCTCCAATTCACTCTCGTGTGGTCATGTGTGACGTCATGAGATGCGGTGCGATTTTCGCTTCTAGCGTCTTATATGCACGTGTTTATCGTTGCTTAGAAATCATCTATGTAAACAATGACAGACTATCATCACTGTTTTGTCCGTATATTGCTTAATATGTTGTAATTGACATCTTTGATAATGGCTTATGTAAGCCGAAAGCTTAGATTTTATTAAAAAAAATATGGATCAATATTGTGAATTTCTTTCTTCGTTCAACGATAATGTTATTAAACTTATCAGACGTTACGAAATAAATTTACATAAAATAAATAAACAACACTTGTCTATAATATTTAATGAAACGTGTATCAATATATATATATATATATATATATATATATATATGAATTGGGATCAAATAAATATAGATTGTAATCCGACTATGGTACGATAAGAAACAATTAGGAAAGGTTTAATCGCTAAAGTTAGCGCCAACCGGATATATGTGAATTATATTCGATATTACATAACCCCAGAAGAGTTCATGTGTTAAATTAAGTAACTTAACCGATGCAAAATCCAGTTTTCAACTAATTATTTACAATTTAGTTTTTAGTCATCATCATCATCATCATCATCATCATCATCATCATCATCAGTCTCGTTGCCAGGTGTGGTCGTAGGTTCCCTGCGCTGCTGAACACCTGACCAATTCCATCCACATATCTGTGTTGAAAAGCCGAAGAGTTATTCGTTCATACTTAGCGTTTCTTGGCCAAGTAAGCCTGACCAGTCCCGTCAATCTCTAGATCAACCCGTAGCCGATATCCTCCAACTTGAAAGGCCCCTTTGGATACAGGCATCTTAATCGTTGTTTCCCTCAGTGGCAACCTTCTCACTGGCCGTCTAGGAAGACCTTTGCCCGGCGATGCCATATTTTACCCGCATTTGATGCATACCTAGCTATGGAGCCTAGTCTATCCCATTGTGATAGATGTGCAAAAAGGATCGGCTTATAGTTAATTTTTGATTCATATCGATTCTTTCTTTTTATTTAATCTTCAACTTGTTCAGCTATAATTGGGACAGCTATGGAGATTGTTTTCATTTATCGGGCAATGTTAATGTTAAACCTTTTCTTAATCCTGATATTCAATGATATTTTGTATATTAGGGTTCAGAAACTATTAACGTCAGTTCTTGATTCGCATAATCAATAATCAAAATCCGTCTTCGGGAAATTGTTTGACCGAAGCCGATGAATCGATCGATATTGCTTCATTTCCTCGGTTCTAGAGTTATACTTTCAAAGTGGCCACAAACACAAAGATGTTGGCCATCGGTGAGAAATCTACGCAAACGTCTGGTCAATTCCATGAGAACCTATGACGTGTTAGCAACCATCGTACTCACAAGGGACAATAAGCGTGTTTGTAATGTAAATGTCTCTAAGGCAAATGCTTTCCTGGACCAGTGATAAGAATTGAAGAGCTGCATTGTATATAATAAGCCTGAAAGGCACAGCCTTTGGCCTGCTTGTGGTTTTTGACATCGTCGGGCGTTTACCGCCAGTGCCAGGGGTTATTCTTTGAATCCAACTAGACATTGAAAGCTGATTTTAAAGGTAGAGAGATCTTCCTTTTCTTTTTTTTTCTTTTTCTTTTTTTTTACCAAATTTCAAGGCTCAAGATCCACTCAATGTAGAGGAATACTGAATTAGGTTTGTGACATGAATATAAGAGGAAATAGAAGAAAATGAAGTTTATGAGGATAAGGGGATAGATATCGATTAACCCTTTACTTCAAGAGGCTAATAATGTAGTGTTCCTGATTGATAGATTGGTTTGTTTTTTACGACTTATCAACCTTTTGCATGTTATTTAGAGCCAGAAAATACTTTTAGATTATAAGAATTTTTTAAAAATAATAATGATATAGCGATATATCTTTTACTAATTAACCCATAACTGGGGTGAAAAAGTGGATTCATGCCTTTTCCATTTGCGCGTAATTGATCATAAAGAACACGACTGGAATTGGAACTTGGCTCCCCGATTAACAACTTTATACTATTATCCATTACACCAACCGCACACCCAAACTTACAGCACCTGATATTCTCAAGCGATCACCCATCTAAGTACTGACCAAGCTCGACTTTGCTTAACTTCGGTGATCTTAGAGGAACCGGTGTTTTAACGTGCTATGGCAGTAAGCCTAGTGTCCATGAAAGTATCAACACAGGAGTATCATGGAGAAACGCTGTCTGTGTGAAACTTTCAACTTATAATCGGAATACAGGGAAAATGTGGCTGATACAACTCTGCGGACACAGAACAGAGATTCTCAGCTGTAAAAGTCTGAACGGTGCCCATCTGAACATTTTCCATGGAAATAACGATAGAATAGGGGGCAATATTGGACCTTCGTGACCGCAAAAGAAGGCATTGTCAAAAGAACGGTTTTTCCTTGACACCGCTATTATTTTAACTACCTTCGCCCCTGGGCAATGTTAAATTATTTTTAAAAGGTAAGAATTGTAAGAAAACCAAAACATATGATGAAAGCTAATTTATACAATTTTTTTTTTGTTCTTCAGAATTTACAACAAAAATATTAAACATTATTTATTTATTATTTGTCAAAAAATAACAGTTCCTTATTGGTCAGAGTCAAGCAACTGGCGTGTGAATTTGCGGTAATAAGCTAAATTTTTACTCTCTGTTCGAATTTCTGGAATAAGGTATTATCATTATCTACATTATTCACAGGTGGACTATTATCATCATCTTTGGTATTTTTATCATACCGTTTCGGATGTTGAGCCACCCGGCCTTCATTGGACGGGTGTGTCGATCCGGGCAACCTACGGAGAAATTCGTTTTTTTTTTAAAATCTACGCTCTCCATATCGAAGAATATCCCGTCTGACTATTGTAATCTTCCCACTGTCCAAGAGATTGAACTCACCAAATCTATAAACCAACGATTTAATCGGCTAGGTTTATTTACCCGTGCACTCGTTGGTCGGGTCAACTTGTCGATTCATCTGGTTTCTCTGGAGAACACTGAATTCAAAGTCTACTCTGGTACCAACTACGGGGAAAATGGTAAATCGACAAACACTTCCTAGATTTCTCTAATGTTGTACCAAATCTGGCACGGGAAATTTTGGTAAAATAATATTAACTTTGAACATGCACATAATGTCTTGACCGTGTTTTGAAACCCCCAAAATGAAAACATTTTATAAAACATACATACAACAAACTATTTCTAATTTTCACAGTTAAAATATAATCCTTGAAAATGGTTAAATGTATAGCCGAAAGCGCTCGGATAAAAAGAACATTCGGACAGTTTGTATATAATTTATCATGCGAAAAGAAAAAAATATATTAGATCGCATGAAATTGTATAAAAAATAAATAAAAGCACCTTGTCTGTTGTTTTCAATAAAATGTGCATAAAAGAAGGATTGATGCCTAAATACACACACACACACACACACACATATATATATATATATATATATATATATATATATATATCCAGGTCTCTGTATTCGGCCCTTCAAAAGTGTGGATGGTCCTGCACGAAACCTTCACCACTATAACAAATCTCATGTGCTGTTGTCGGGCTGTCGGTTTCCTGGTAACTTATCTGCTTGACCCTCATACGTCGAATTCGACGGGAGAGCCCAATGAATATATATATATATATATATATATATATATATATATATATATATATATATATATATATATATATTGTTATTAAATCCCATGATTAATTTCATGATTTAAAAAAAATATCTGCGTTATTTGGTAATTGAAAAAAAAAATGCTTTTTTTTTATTTTATATTTGTTTGAATTTTCTCAGAAGAGACACGATGTGGCATTCTCACCGTTTGTCACTTCCCGAGTTCAGATTGACTCCATTAATGTGTGATTGCGGCCATGTTGCTATACGTTCTCCTGACAAAACCAAAAGAAAAATTTGCTTTCAAGCCCTCATTCTGAATAAATTGCCATTTTTCTTCTGCAATCACAACTCGTTCTACTTGAAGAAATATCGATATTTTTGTTTTCGCTTCTCAAAGAATTTCCTTTCACAGAATTCCCAGCCAAGACGACGCCCTCTTCGAGAAGCAAGGCATAAAAATGATTCATATCTTTTTTGTCGGATACGTTATAAATGTTTTTTCTTCCCCTCGTTTTCTCAGTTTCTATCTATCTATCTATCTATCTATCTATCTATATATATATATATATATATATATATATATATATATATCCCTCTAAGAAGCATTAGCCATTCGATATCACAGCAAATTTTACTGTTCCTTTATTCATTTAATAAATTTCATGACAAAGACGTAACCGTTTATTGTTTTTGAATGTACATCGATGCAGCTACGATGCAGCTACATTATTATAAGGTAATGCAAATATTTCGTAAGATATTAGAGAAATCTTAGAAGTGTCTTTTAAGTCTTTTTTATTATATGATCTGTTTTTTCTAAAAACAGAGAATAAGAAGGGTGAGTCAGGTACTTTCTCGAGCGGTAAAGAAAACCGACAATTTTTTCAGCATCTTGCACGATGGACCGTATATACGACTTGAACTGTGGAGTAAACCTGAGCCCCAAAAAAACGTTCATGAAAATAAGTTTCATTAGCAGTAAAACGATTCATTATGACTACAGAGAATTCATAGACTGCTCGGTGATATGAGTTCCACTTGAAGTCTGGGGTGAACTTGAGTCTCAGTAGACGTTCATATATGAAATTTATTCAGTTATAAAGGAAGCCAACAAATTCAAAAGGGAATCTGAATTTGGTGAAGAAGTACAAATAAGCCGTAATGCACCTACTGCAGAGGCAAAGAACCTAAAAAAGAAAGCAAAAGCAAATGCAATGTATCAAATGCAGGAACGATGCCAAGATAAACCACTTAATACTCTGCCCGTACCAAACAAGCTGATATAGACAAACCCTATACCACTGGTGCAGCATGTTAATATTTTGCTAGGGCATGCGTAGGTTGTGAACCCTTCGGCTTACTATACCGACAGAATAAGGGGCCACTTCGAGAATGAGTTATTAACATTAAATTGTTTTCTAGTGAGCTCAAATTTCATTTTGCATTGTTATTTCATGATTAAAATGATTAAAGTATATTACAGAATAAATTTTCATTCAAATATTTTATATTTCTACTTTTCAGTTCTCTATTATGTTTTGAAACTAAACTGTTTTTGTTTTTTAATTTTTCTCTTTCATGGACGCCATGGTATTTGGAGGCTTGTTTAAAGACCAAGTTAATGGCCTTTTAAGCTTCCATCACATGAATTTCAGTAACATTTTGAATATGTGTTGTGGTGTCCTCCATCTAAAGAGTCTATGCTGGACTCTTCCGCCTACTACAAGATTAGTAGGAGAGAAGGCCTTGGGGGAAGAGTCGAACAGACTGTTATTATTGTCGAACTCTGTGCCCTGAGCAGAGAGGAACCCAAACGTGGCTTTGCCGAAGGGCAAAGTTTCGTCCGGGGAGGTAGACAGGCCTTGAACCTATATATGCGGGTTCTAAGGGAATATTTTTGGCCGAGCCTATGGCCTCGGAGAACACACGGTAAACTCGGCCTTGTGCCACATACATCCTTCGTGGGTGGGGGGCTGTTAAATATAACAGAGTTTTGTCAGTTATCAGTTATATGAGCACTGGTAAAAATGGTTGAAATTCATATACAGTTGTCCTCAAGGACATATGGCACAGTGGATAAAGACGTTGGTTAGATCCAGTGGCAGGACCCAAAGAGTGTGAGTTCAATACCCGGTTAAGGCAGTGGAGAACTTTCAGAGGAAAATTAGCAGGAGATAACTGATAACTGACATCCATCAAACATGGCATGTGGAACTAGAACAGTCTACTCCGGTGAGCGAAATAAAGGGTTCAGTTCGACATTCCAACCACCTGAAGAAGGCTGGAGCGTACAACGGCCGAAACGTTGTGATAAATATGGCGACAAAGATGAGGACAATAGTCCGAATAATGTAAATAATATATATATATATATATATATATATATATATATATATATATATATATATATATATATAAGAAAGAAAGAAAAGAAAGAAAGTCTGTATTAGTAAGTATATATTTTACTTGGAGTGCCGGCAACAAAACTCTTGTGAGTGAGGGGGGTGTTTAGGAACCCTGTAGGATTGAAAAATAAGACCTATCATAAGAAAGAAAATCTCTTGGTGAGTCAATGACCAGCTAACTAGATTTATTCAAGCTATACAGTTAGGAAATTTTGAGAGAATTAGAAGTCCTACCAGGATTCATTATTGTAGGCCACAACATAAGATATACAGATGACGCAGTGGTAGCAGACATAGAAAGGAATCTATAAAAGCTCCTATTGAAGGTAGCGAAGGAAAGCGAGAAGAAAGGACTAAGTATACACTACAAGAAGACAGAATTCCCAGTGTTCTAACAAAGGACGGGCAGTGTAACACTGAGATCTGAGAGATCGATTGGTATGGCCAAAAATGCATTCCAAAAGCTAAGCTGAGTATTAAGAGACGGAAAAACTTTTTTAGAAACAAAGAAAAGACTCCAGGAACTCTTACGTGATACCAGACCTCCTGTATGGCAGTGAATGCTGGGCAACCTCCTCAAAGTTGAAGGAGAGACTTGAAGCAACAGCAATGTGGTTCTACAGAAAGATGCTGAGCATACCATGGACGGAACATGTGAGCAACGACGAAGTTTTTGAGAAAATGGAAATAAAAATAAACTTATATTTAACATCAGGAAGAGACAATTGAAATTTCTAGGGCACATAATGAGGAAAGAAGGCTTGGAAAATCTGATACTCACAGGACGGATTAAAGGCAAGAGGGACAGAGAAAAACAACACATAGCATTCGTAATGAACTTGAGTAAATGGATGGTGGAACAGGGTGTAGGAGAAATAACAAAAAGACAGAATTTATTAAGAGCTACAAATTGTTTTTTTTTTTTTGGATGAAATAATGGAAACAAAAAGGAAACTTTAACTTAACATCAGGAAGAGACAATTGAAATTTCAAGGGCACATAATGAGGAAAAAGGGCTTGGAAAATCTGATACTCACAGGACAGATTGAAGGCACAGAGGGAAACAATGCATAAGTCTAAAGTTGTTTTGGTCCGGTTTGTAT